AMASARAWAWAAMAMRAGGCAGAAWTAGTCMAAAATAGGTGTAATTACATGCAYATTGACAAACACATTGACGAAACCAATTGATAACATCAAGTTAATTAGTTTTTGAGATTTTTTTCGCTCATCTTATTTTTCAATTAAATTGAGATATCTTATCGCTRAAGTTCCTTCCTTCGTGAAGGCGCCGGCACGATCAGTTCTTAGAAAAACCTCATTCTCAAATATCTATTTTTGCATGTCGTTGCTTGATTGTTATCACAGGGTATAATTGGTTTTAAGTCTTTTAACTTTTCTCATCTCAAAACAGGAGGTTGAGGAGAGATAAGATCAGAAAATGGGTTATCAACTTGAAAGAGAATAGAACGAGGGCGGAATAACAAACGAATGACCACGCCCTGTTCACCGTGAAATTGACCACAGGGAGCTCGGGAAAATGGGAAAAATACGCGAAAAATAATCTAATACTGAACAATACAAAAAATCTTAATGATATGACAGTTAGAATTAATCCTCTTGATAGGTCTTGGATAAGAACTCCATAAATGGAGTTATCCATGAATCGATAATAMACATCATAACAGGAACAGTCTTCCGATACACAATGCAATTATTCTCATGCTCACTAATGCATTCGCGCGTTGTTTATTGACTTTAACTCTTGCGCGGATGGAAAACAATGTAAATACGTAAGRAAATCTACTATGGAAAATGGATTCTAAAAAGATAAAACAAAAGGAAAAAAAGTTTACAAATGCCCAATCTGAGATCTACATTACTCGTATTGAACCATAACATAATCCCAAAAACAAAACTAAAATGAATAGAAATCTCTTTCAGTCGAGTTGTTTTTCTAAAACTGAGGTGATCAGTAAATTCGACCAATAAAAGAGAAAGATCTTTTAAAAAGGATTGAATACAAGAGATATCATCACTTTTAATGCATGCTTAGTCCCAAATACAGTACCACTGTATATATCGGATTCTCTGGTATCTMAGTGATGGTGCTTGAATATCACTATAACGTCAAAATATACTGCATTTTTGTAACATTTTGTGTTGTTCTTTTTTGAATATCTTGATAAAATTCGTCTGTCGGTGAAAAAAAAAAAAAAAAACTGATGAAGAGATGAAGATTGGGATCATACAGTTTTCCCAGAGCCCTGTCTGCGATATGTGCACGCCAATTTCACTAGAATATGTAAAGACCAAATAAAACAAGCATGCATAACTATCGTAACAGTTTTAAAGGCCCATATGTACCCGAGAACCTTTGYGCGCTTTTCTCACACGCCATTTTTGGTTTGAACCAATCAAAATCAACTTTTAAACATAACAAACGACCGTAAAGGTTCACTCGGATGCAATAAGTGCTAAGTGCTTTATTATCCATGGTAGCCCAAAATTCATATAAAACCTGKTACGTTTTCCAACACAATGTTTCTTGTTCAAATCACTAGTTATCGATCTTTTTTTGTGTTTAGTCAGCCGACTTTTTATTAAGAAATGAACCATTTCCTCCAAACTCACCCAATCTAACTGATTCATAGCTGTCTGTAAGTACCGTGTGTCTGGTCGGCATGATCAAAACATTTTGACTTTGATATTGAATAAGCCTTAGTTATATACTACACTCATAATCCGACTTCCTTTGGTGCTAAGTGGTTTTTTTTTCAGTTTTGAAGACTTGAAAGATAAAACAGCGGCGGGTTTGATGTAACGGATAATGTTCCATCAAGTTGTTGGGAAGACGCTCTTTTAAATGGGTTTTCAATTGCCGTTAGCATACAATCGACTTACACAAGCTACAGCTATGGATGCTAATACACATCGTCCAGTACGGACGACCCTCAATTCCGACAACTTAATGAAATCAATTCAATACTGAGTTTTGATTTATATGATTCTATTTTATTTCACATTTCAACTCGACCTTGAAAAACCGACCACTTGTGCATTTTCATTAAACCGGTCGTATTGTAATGAGTGGTTTCAAAATGTCCAAATAATTCAATGTTAACTGGTCGTTTTCAAGTCAAAAAGATTATTTTGATCTTTTAATGAATTTCTCGAAAGCATATACAAAGCACTCAATGGAATGTGAAAASTAAGAGCAATATCACTTAACTTAGACTTAGATCATGGAAGTGCTCAATTTTCACATCCAAAGAAAACAACCTTTATATTTGATCAATGTTTTTATTTCATTACCAGCAAAGAAACACGAAGTTCAAGTTTTTTTCAACTGATAAAATCGTTAAACCACACACAGTGACAGTCTTTAATCACGTAATTTAAAGGTAAGGCTATCATCACTTGTAAGCGAACWGTTTGACCGTTTGAAGCTCTAAAAGAGGGTTAATTATCACGAGAGAGATTAAAGCAATTCCTAGAGGTCCTACAAACAAGGCGTTACCCTCCATCTTATCGCGCAGAGCAACCCTTGGGGTAGCTACAATTRAAGAAACTCAGCTATTGTATTTGATGGCGGTAAACGTAGACACAGTTTTTCCAACACTTCCACTCGTTAATTAGAAGTGTTTTGGGGGTAAAAGCTACATAAACAATTGCCCATCAAGCAGAAGACGTGTGATAATTGATGAGTCGAAATGCTAAAACACATGKACAATGGCGGCAAAGACGACTAATATCAAACCAGTAAACCGAACATAAATCAAAGCTAATCAAATCTAATGTAAACAAAATAAAAAACATTAAAAGTAGAATATCATCGAGGAGTAGAAATTGAAGCGAGTTCAATATTTTTAATACTCCTAAACTGCTAATAAATAAATTAAAGAAAAKAGAAAATGAAAGAAATCAGTTTTAAAACTATCTATGTACAAAGTATATGCAATTTCGATATGATTATATATGATGAGCTGCGTGTGTTTTGCGTGATATCGCGCGCGTGTTTCCGTGACATACACACATATATATAACCATTTCTTCGTGATCTAGCGTGTTTAAAGTGTATTCATTTTGATCTTTTAAAATAGTTCAAAAACAATGAAACCCTAAAATAAAACAACTAAAAATAGTCTTGTAGAAGAGAAGAAGCAGACAGGAAGGACGGAAACCATTAGGAGAATAGCGGTAGATGAAAAACAAAAGAAATCYYTACACAGAACAACAAWGARAMACACGGGAAAAGTAATAACAATAATTATTCTCACCTCCTGGGTAGAAATGCGGCATACCATCTTCAAAGGGAATCCTCGCTCCTCTGTTAAAAAAGAATAACAAAACATGAAAAGTACTTGAAGACGTGTAAAACTCTTGTAATTACGCATGAAAAATTGCTTAGTAATCGAGAAGACTTATATCAACTCAATGGTTGTTATTGTTTATGATTATGAATTTTTGTTGTTTTGTTGTTGTTATTGTTTTGCTGTTACCCTTAGTAGGTCTATTATGGTTCTGATATAATTTGGTGTTTGCTAAAAATGAAATTAGGTCTATACACATTGTATGCATAATGACTCTATCATGGTTGGGCTGTAGTTGTTGTTGTGAGTGTCTAGTTGTTGATGGTGTTGCCAGTGAGGCTAACCTCAAGTAGCTTTCCAACCAATATTGATGCTGATAATGTTGAACGCACTAATGGTATAGTCAGAAACAGCTGAAGCCTGCCTATACTATAGTACTGTTTGATATTAATAATGTTGTAATGGTGCTACTGCTGCTGTTGTTGTAGCTCATGCTGCTTTCAAGGTTAGGTTGGAGGTGTTGTTATCATTTTTATAATATAATTAGTTCTTCATTGAGTTGTCGCCCTAACATATATTAATATCAATATTGTAATGGAAGTTACTACTGTTGCTGCTGTTGTAGCTGATGCTTTCAAGGTTAGGTTGATGTTGTTGGTGATGTTGTTATCATTTTTATA